TAAAAAAATATTTTTGAAAATAAAGCTTTGCTGTTGGTGATGTATTTGTTATCGATAGAAGATTGCTTAATAAATCAAACGAAATAATTCAGTTGTGACACTTGTATGATAAAGTTCGATAACTGCAATAATTGATGCATTTTTTCAAATGATAAAAATGGATAAAAGAATGATGTAATGTACAGAATATCTGTCTTCCTCGATTTAATTGTCAATTTGGACACACCCACGGGGTAACAGTTTAACCAAGTGGATAGCTAGCATAGGGAAGAGAGACACGCGAAGAGAAAGAGAAAGAAAATAGACGATTACATATCATTATTCCGCGTGGCTGATCGAGCCGCAACCCTACTACCTAAACGGACTATATTATCGTTTTCTCAACGAGCTTACTATGCACTTCTCTTTGTTGATATTTCTCCTTCTCTCTTCCAATTTCGATGCTACTGCACCAACCTTTGTTCCAATTATTTGCCGAGTATCCCAATGAGGAGGAAAAGCGTTTATAGTGTATATGTTCATTCGTTTGTACACCGAATTCGCTAATTAAATTACTCTCGATATTCCTTTCTTTCTCTCTATGGCTTTGTTTATTCAGGTTCATTTGTAATGCCAATAAATTCCATTCGACGATTGTTTCCCACAGGCAACATTCATGAATTTACTGATTTTTTTTTTTCGCAATATTTCCCTATTTTGGTATCTATACAAATTTATTGAATGTTTTTAATTGACTTTGTTTTTAACAAAGTTTTTAAAATAGACAGACATTCTTCGAACAGTGGAATATATATCGAAATCAATAATTTATAAATTGAACAATAAAATTTTGTTTTGTTTCGGGAGAGTGTATGGAAAAGGGAATTTTTTTCATTCGCTATTTTTCTTGATTTAATTTAAAATTCCATAAGTGGTTGAATGTTTTATAATATCCAAATGATTGATACTTTTTTCTGTAAATTTAATAAATAAAATTTTTCGAATTTTTTTTTTGTATCTTCATGGAATTTTATTTTGTTAACTTTCCCTTCATTTTGTTTGATCGAACACAATTAGAGAGAAACGTTTTCAGGTATTTATCTCCAGAGGATAAAATGTTTTCGATCAAAAATTTCCTAATTAATGAATCTTTACTTGAATTGTTATTTGAAAATAATTAAATTAATATCTATTTGTTAGAATTTAATATTTTCAATTAAAATCTTATACATAAAATTAAAAAGGCTTAAACTATTGCTCAATATAAAAAATTTCCATAAATAATATTTCCAGTTATTGACTTAATTAACGATAAAGTTTCCGTAAGAAATAGTTTGATTTAAGGTATTGGTTTTTGTGGCTACGTTATTGACAACTGTCATGTAAAGAATAAAGTAAGACGAAGTTGAGTAGAAAGCGAAAAGAGGGAAAACGTGTATAGAGTATCACATTCGATGAGCAACAATGTAGTTGCCTGGTTGCATACCGTTGGCTGGAGGCTAGAGTCGCCACTATTAGATTGAGGTTCGGCGGTCGGCACCCGCCGTCGCATCGGTTTACAATATCGTAAATCGCTCGCTAACCAGTTGGCCCGCGGTATGCTAGGAATTCGACTGGTTCCACTCTCTTCCTCCTCCTGTCCACCCACCGGTAAATCCCACCCCTTCAGGACATTTTGCTGGAGCAAGAGAATCTCTGTACCAATGCGAATGAGGAGGAGGCAGAGGACGAGGACTTGAACATCGTTCGCGGGCCTTGCGTTTCCGTACTTGCGGCTGCCAGAATTGGGCTTCAAATATACCCTCTCTGTACTCTCTTTCTCTCTTACTCCGTACTCTCTTGTTGGTGTGCTTCGGCTACGCGATCGTCGTCAAATATCCATCGGGCAAATGCGTTTATTCACAAAAGCAACAAAGGATGAAAATCGAACGGCGAGTATAGAGTTGAAAGGGAGTGAAATGTTATAGGGGTTGATTGCTTGTGATTGTGTTCACTAAAGCTATCAATATTAAAATTGATAAAAAATAAATTGGGTTTTAAATGTATACTTCTCTGAAAATATTTTTGTGATTTGATTTTAATATTTTGTTGTTTTCATAATATTGTTTTTTTCATTCGTCAACTACTTCCACTGTAAATTAAAAACACTCCGATTGATTACTCAGAAAAAATATATTCTTTTTTCAACTTTTTGATCGAAAAATATATATTGAGTCAATTTTTAATAAATTGAAAGTAAATATTTTCACATGTGATCAGTTGATAATTGTAGTGGATGAACATGGCTTCACAAAAGAGAAATTTTTTTGATGAATTTTATTTGTTTACTGGGCAAACTATTCGTTGACAGCTGAAAAATGTGTACAATCTATCTATTTATTGAAAAGAATGTTATTCATACTTACTTCATTTAAATATTAATTTAGTTAATGTTTCTTGATGTAATAAAATTCTTTAATTTCTTCTTTGTTGATGCCTAATAAATTTTTGCTATACTTTTTATAGCATTCATTTATTTTTTTTGTAAACTTAACCGAAATTGAGACTGTTGTAAAAACAAACTTCTAATCTGTAGTATAAACAGAATTTTTTATGTAGATAACAAATCATTTACAAAGTTTGCATGAGATACTGAGTCAGATTTCTGCAATGAAAATGAATGAAATATTCCTCTTATTTTTGATATTCATTATTATTTTAATATTCATTTTTAAACATTTTTATAGAGGGAAAAAGAAAAGGATGATTCGTTGGATATGTATAAAAATGAAAAATAAATAGGTGGTTGTATTGAAGGTGTAAGTAGAGCCACAGCCTTAGGCGATTTACTTCGTTCTCCATAATTACTAGCTTCGTTTCAAACAATTTATATTAAAATGAAAAAGCAATCTGCATTTGTAAATTGAATGCGTTTCACATTTTCCATCGCAAAGGGGTGAGTAAAATAAAAGAGTAAGGGACTGTCGTTGGGGAGTAATACAGAGAAGGGACGAAAAGAGAAAATACAATCGAGTGAGGAAAAACCATAGTGAACGTTAATTGTGCACCAGTAATCTGTTGCCTCATCCTTGCAATTTTTCGTTGTTCTCGACAACCTCATCCTACCATTATTCACCTCGAAAATAATATTTTACAAATAAATTATCTTTTTCATGTTTAAATTTCAAATGGAGCTTCTGAATAATGCAAACTATTTTTTATGAACAAAATATTCATTTTTCATTAAATTTATATTTATTCCAAATATTCTAGTAAGTTATTATCGAGTGCTTCCGATTAACTCAGTAATTAAAATAAGTTTTGGTTTTTCAAATATTTTTAAATATATTTATGAAATATTAATGGTTCTTGAATTTTCCAGAATCTACATTTCATTGCTGAAGTTATTATATAATTTTACAGTCAATCTTTTATAGATACTCAATGTTTCTGAATGTATGATAAATAGTCGAAAACTTGAATGAGTAATTGTTTTTATCCACAATTAATTAGATATTGAGAAAAGATGAACTAGTATTAAAAAAAATGTTTTATTAAATAGTCACAATAAATAACTTTATTTTTTCAAAACAAAAAAACTTTGAGCAAATTTCAGTTATAGAGAAAATCTTTTAAAAACAATTACCATTTTATTAAAAAAAAGAAATTAATTGCCACCATTGAATAAATTACTTTATTATAATTTTTTAAATATATTTTATTATGATTAATGTAATAAAAACTTGATGGTAAATTTATAATGGAACTTGTAATTTTCATTTAATTAAAATTCTCTTTGAAAGTTATTTATGTACCAAACATTATGTGGAAAAATAAAAAATTGAAAAATGCTTATTATTTATTAAAATTGAAAATAATGAAGTATAGTTAAACATTAAAGAGGGGAAAAAAATAAATTTGTAAAACATAAAAAATCTATAATTAAATTATGTATATATTTATTACAAAATGTTTTTACTGAGTGTGAAGAGATTGCTGTAAACGCAAGTATTTGTTGATTATCTATTGCCCACACAGGTGCAGAGACTTGTTAGGCCATATAAAAAACGATTTTACTCAGTCAGTGTAATCGTACGAGAGCAACGAACCGTCTTAAAAGTGGCAACAATTCGTAATGTGCGACTCGACTGACCGTAATCGGACAAGCGAGAGTCTCCACCACATTCTTACGTAATTCCATAGCTATAAAGTTTGAAAAGAAGTATCGTAGTAAATGAGGAAGGCAGAGAAGCGAAAGGTAAAAAAAATGTAAGAAATGTGTGAGCAAGCGAGAGGATATGCGATTATAGATGTACACATAGCACACTGACGCGCATCTTCTTCACGCTTTCCGAAGATCCTCGCGAGCGTAACGTGTGCAGATTATTGCAACGAAAATCATTGCAACGATGATGAGACTACTGACTACGTAATTTTTATCTTTGACGGTTTCACTAAGATTTGTTAACAATAATTTTCTAAGAAAGTCGAGAATGTAAATAAATTGTTGCCATTTTTTATTGTGTGAGATTGAAATTACTTGTTAATTAAATGAAAAGTAAATAAATTAGATAAATCTATAAAAAAAATTGAGTTATAGAAAACTTTTTTAATATAATTATAGAATAATTTACCATTTTTTTTTTTATTAAATTTTTTGCTTGCTTCGTAGAAGTTAAATATAACAGTTACTATAAAATTAAAATAGTAAGTTATTTATTTTTTATACATATTTATTTTCATAAATGGATTTTTATTTTTAATGTTATAAAAATGGATCATTCGATATTTTTTCACTGAGTAGTCACATATAATATGTCTGCAAGACGAATGATAATCTATGCTTATCTTTATTTTCATAGTTTAAAGCAGGTTCGAATGACTAATAATTATGATTCATAGGTTAAATATAGTAATAACAATAACAATAATAATGAAACACTTGGAAAAAAAACAAGTGAAAAATTGCAGAATAAAACAAACTGCTTTTATCTCACAATAATATTGATAAATATGTACGAATCGATCTGTATGTATTATAGGTACATCCACGTTGCCGTCATCCTGACCTGCCCGAGAAATCCTCATGAAAGACTGGGAACTCAGTACTCAAAATAGCATCGGTATTGTAGCCATTTATTTTTTCTTTTTTTCTTTTTATCTTATTTTTCAAAATTATTATTATTATTTTTACAATCACATTTTACTGATTGGATTCAAAATAATTATTCTCTGGTGGTGGAATTTTAACAAAACTGGAGGCATGTTTAATTTTAAAGATAAAGAAAAAATGAATGATTGAAAGGGGAAAAAAATTTCATGACATTTATTGAATCAATTTATGCATTTAAATAATCCTCGAAGGTTATATTCCTCAGTGGAATCTATGGAATATAGCCCTCCAGTTTACATCTGGACGAGTGTTGGTCTCGCATAACCGTGAATCAACGGTTTCGCAATTTCCCTAAATTGCGTAACGCGCGTTTAATGGTCGGGTCGTGCGCACTTCGTGTGGACGAGGGATCGAGGGCTCGAGAAACCCATTAATTAAGCAAAATCATAAACCGTTCGTCAGTAGTAGAGCAAGAGAGCTACACAAGAACTCACGAGTATGAAATAAGGAAAGAGTAGCTTATGGGCTGTTACTTTTGCGATATAATTTTCTCGAGAGTTGCAGAATAATATCGTTTGGTTAGATGACAGTTTGATGATCGATTGAGGTTGAAAATTTTTCAGTAATTAAAACAAAGCTCGCGTCATATTTTTTTCACAACTATTAATATTTTAATGAAATTTGGAGTTTTATCTCTTGAATGTGCTAAAATAATTGATCATGTACACTATTTTTTATCATATATTATATTACATTTTTTACAACTTTTAATTTAATTTCATATTAAAAATGTTTTATTTTGTTCAAACGAACAAAAAACAACAATTAACCGTAATAATGTTTTGCATATAAATAAAATTAATGTTCTTAAGGGTTGCGAGATAATCTTGTTCCGTTAGATGACAGCATAACAATCAATCAATGCTGGAAATTAATTAAAACACTACTTGTTCCTTAATTACATACTCAGCGTTATCTGATATTTGAAATGACTTCTTAACAGACAACTTAAAAAATATTAGTGATAACTATCAACAGTTGTGATTATTTGTTGTTACAAATATTAATTTTAAATGAATTCAAACTAGTCTTACTAAATAAAAAAACTTTTTTTTATGATCTGTTATCTAAGAGGTAATTATTAATATGAAATCACTATTTACGATACGACGCTTGATTGTCAAATGACGCGGGCATTTTTAAACTTGTAACGACTTTCGATTTTCCTTGGATTATTATCACTGGTTTTACGCAGTCAATCCGGTTTCTGATGATTCATTTATTTACATATTTCTCATTTCTATATAAAATTATAAATTTTCTTATCATCAAATATTCTTTAAAGTAATATTCCTACTTTCTTCAAAATGAAAAAGATTTGTTACTTCCATAATTTGTAATATTTTATGTGGTACGAACGCAAAAATAAAAGATATTTTCTTTCATATACAGTCAGACTCCTCTAATTTCTGTAACTCGGGAGACATGATTTTCGAAATTGGAAATTGAGGGTTAGGAAATTCGAGGAGTCTGACTGTATTTTGAATTAATTAAAAACGATTCGCAAGAAATAACTCTCTGTCAGAATGTTGTTAAGCAAATTGTTGTTTGAACAGAGACAACTATAAAAGTTTAAATTTTATGCCTAATCAGTCATTAGCATACTACAATTTCCTAAATTCAAGTTAGGCGCCAAGTGGGATACCACATTAGGCCCACATTGGGAATATAAACGCTTGTCCCTATTGGGGGGTATAAAAACCAAGTTTTTTAAATGTCTGTATAGTATATATAGATATATTCATTTTTGTATTTATTATTTACTATTATAAATGTGCTTTATTTGGGTTTAGTTCAAGTAATTTTAAGTTGGCTCTAATAAGTAATTCCTAATCAATGCCTAACTTTGACATAAAGTTCGGAAAGTTAATAAGGTTAGAAATCTTGGGGTACCCTATAAACCTACATAACAAATTCATTAGGCATAAGTTGGGAATGTCTAATTTAAAACAAGAATAGAATTAAAATTTTGTAAAAAAATTATAAGGGTTGAATAATGTAAAAATGTTATTTTGAGTTACTTATCGTCTTTCGACAGTACTGATAATCACATAAATGGTATCTTAAATGCTCATCGAGTATAGAAATAGCAAGAGAATACTTAAGCAGATTACGAGCATATTTAAGCAAGCAATATAGCTACATATTCAGTTAAACTTGTCAGCTCTAGTAATCTCAATGATAATCGCGAGACAGAATGAGAGAAATCGTGAATAGCGTTGGAGAAAGATACGGTATACCAGCAAGCAACTTGACTTAATGTCGACTCTCCACCTCGTCAATCTCAGCAGTTCAGGAGCGATAATAATTCTAGTCGCAAACTTTTCTTTCCTCGAAAGCCGGCTGTGCGCATGCGACTAATAATAATTTATTTGTAATTCCTGGAGTTCTCAATGCATTGCGGGATACAACCAGCACAAGTCGTGTCGCAATGTCCCTTTAACGGCTGCTGGAAAACCGGTCGACCTCGATATCTGCGCTCCGGCTATTCTTTGAGCTTCTATCTCGACGCGTCGCACGAGTTTTATATTTTTATTCCTCAGCAACACACTTTTCAACTTACTATTTATATTTACATTAAATCATTATCTCTTATTACAATAAATATTACTTTTATTGGTTCTAAAAAATACTGGTACGTCCACTTTTTAACAGACAAATATTACCAGAGCAATGGGATGTGAAATGATATGTTTTAGAAAAAAAAATTCAATTACTGACATTAAAATACCAATAAATCTACAAAGTTTCTATTTTGCTAACTCTAGGTTTATCGTAACGTTCTATGCGGACGTTCGGTTATCTGAAACGAATTAATAATGAGTCATGTTTGAATTTTTTACGTATTATAAGACTATATTTTAGTCTTTTTCCGGGCTGTTATAAATTAGTAGTATATAATACTTGCAGATTAATATTTATGACGTTTTATTGTAACTTTATATTAGTGGAATTGGTTTAGCAATGTCTAGCCTCTGGTTAGCAAGTACTGGTTTTATTTATTTTACGCCAATCTTAATCGCTTAAATGTACAGTCGTAATTTGATGTTATCTAAAGAACATTTTATTGAAAAATTACTACAACAAATTTATGAAGAAGTTTAATCTTTTATCGAAAATGAATTTATCAATAAAATGGATAGTAAAATTAATAATTGAAATACATGGAGTAACAATTTTGTGACTATTTTTACGAATAAATGTATGATTCTTGAATATTAAATATACGAATAAAGACACACAATGGTGAAAGATTTTGACTTCAGTAATTTAAAGAGTAAAAAATTGAACAATAATTCGAGTAATTTCCATCCATTTATTGGTCCTACGTAATAAAAACAACTCACAACTATGAAACTGTAATATTTTATTTAATTTGTTTTAACAAAAATACTCTAAAAAAGTAATAGTTGAGTGTTTTTCTAACTATTAATAGTAAATGCGACTATATACTTTTTTCAGTGAATATTTCGGAAATAAAAAAAATTGCATAGCTGGTAAAACAATTTTTAAAAAATAGACCTAGTTTATGCTCTAACAACGAACTTCCTATTAATTGAAATCGGTAATTTTGTCATCTTTTAGTTTTTTTGTTTGTACCAAATTGCTATTATTATAAACAATATATAATTGTTTAATCATATCAAGTTATTTATAATAACATTTTATTGATATTTATCAAATATAATCGTAGTCATAATAATTTAATAAATTACAACCATTTTTAATTGTTTAGAGTCGTATAAAGTTATTAACAACCATACTTATAATACTGACCTCAGTTTCTAACAATATCAATCATTCAATGAGTAAAATCTATTTCAAATGTTTTCTTTACTCAACTTATTATACACTCTTTTTGTTATAAAAAAAACTGCTGGGCTGAATTTGTTTGACTCCTTTCAAATTTTCTTCATTATATTGTCTTTAAAATGAAATTTGTCCGAAGTCGAAATCTTCAGTGATTCTCGAGATATCAGAAACGAAAGAAAACCTGACATACGTATGCACGCATATATGTACATACATACATTAATATTTAAAGCTTCTAATATGCTTTCAAATGTCTGATAAAATTACGAATTTTAAAAATCGACCCCATTACAATAATTTTCTGATGGGAAGTTAAAAAACTAATGTTTATTCTTCTCCAACATAAATATTTATTTTATTGTTAAGTCTTCATTATGCAAATATTCTTAATTGCTAGGGCTTAAATACCATGCGAATGAAGTGCAATTGATTAAATTCTTAAGCTGAATATTACAGTCAATTACAAAGAGGGTAAACAGTGCGAAAAAGTATTTACCGTTAACTCAAAATCCCATAACATATAACTCTCACCCTCACTACTTGTATGTATATTCTTGGGCCATCGCTCGCTTCCCTATTCTCTAAAACCATCTACTATACGTTAAACCCGAGACTCTCATGGCAGTAACCCCGCAATGGTGTTAGCAATGAAATTGGAAGAGAATAGGTAGGAATATCGAGCAACCAAAGGGAACATGAAACAGGGGAGCTGGAAATAGAGTATCATACGGTGGTTGGTTTCGCCTCTACACGAGAGAATTCAACTACAAACAATTTCTACCGCTTCTATATATTTATGCACGTATATCTACACATCTACACATTTGCGAATATACCGAATATTGTCCGAAAGCACGGAGCGTACAAACTTGTTAGACCAACCCTACATTTAGAGTTACGAGATGTAAATATTGTAAAGTCTGTTGAACAAACAAATGTTTTAGCTCTCATTAACAAAGTAAAAAGTTACTGAAGTTTATTGCTCGAAAATGCGACTACGGTTTGAAAATTCATCGAATTGCTCATAAACATAATAATGATGGTTTTATTTCGAGTACGATGCTCAATATGGATATTATTTTAATATGCACTGTACATCATTTAGAAGCTCGATAGTTTTACTCTGTACATAATAAT